GTTTAGCGGTACCTTCACAAATTTAACTTTAGTAAAAACGGTAGTTTCACAAATTTAATTTTAGGAAAAACGATAGTTTCACAAAATACTTTTTCTTAAAATTTTATTTTTGTATTCCTTAAGAAATGATAAATCCATATTCTTGCCATATTTTTGTGTTGGATTTTTAAATATAATTTTTAATTTTTCACAAATTATGTCTAAATTTTCACAAAATAGGTACCTCTCAGAAAAACCTAGACAGACCCCTGATCTTACAAAGTAATCTGGTAATTTGTTGCATCTTCGAGGGGGGGGGAAAGGAAACCTGAGTTATTATAATTAGTTTAGGGAAAAGTATGTTTCTCGCTGTTAATAAAGGGAAACTATTAAGTGTTCAAGAAAATTCATACATATTTGAGATCTGAATTTAGAATAAGAAAAGTTAATTATTAAGTGTAAGAAAGCATTAATTTTGAATAAAAAATGAAGATTTAGTTATAGGAATAACATAAAAAGATTAGTTGAAGCTTTTTATGCTACATCCCCTCTCCCTGAAAATGTTGACTACCCTCTAATAAGTTTTAAAAGATTATTATTCATTTGCAATACTTCCCCTATGTTCGAAGCACAGTTAACATGAAAAGAATACAAGTTGCAATCTTAACATACAATCAATATATAAAATTAATATGCATTATAAGAAAGGGCGCAGCACCCTGCTGCCCTTTTAGTCAAAAGAATTCACCCTGCTGCCCCTGAAGTAAATTAGTGCCCTGATGTAGACTCCATATCCTTTTTGCCCTTTCTTTCCTCAACCCTTCTTTATTTTTTCCCCAAACTCTACAATGGATTTCTTAAACTTTTGTTATTTTCAACTCTTTTTATTTAGTTTGTCATTGCTGTCAATACATAGATTTATATGGGAAAAGGGAAAATAGCCATCACACCCCCTTGTTGCACTTGTCTTTGAAAGTTTGCAGTTACTTCCACTATCATTAAATCATAACTACAAACATTTATCAATATATGCATGCATTTTAAATAAATTACTAAGCTAATTAATACGATTGCTTTGCAACTCTTAGTAAAGTTAAAAAAAAAAATTCTTTTACTAATTGACAATGTTTTTTAATAGAACGTGTAAAACACATGGAAGGAAATTATTGCCTTTTTAGAATAATATTGCCCTTTTTTTAAACTTCTGCACTCTGCCCTTTTTTCTGCCTAGAATGAGCTCTGTGAACACTATAAAAATTTAACACAATGTTACGAATTTAACACACAATTTGCTGCAAAAAGTGTAGAGTTACAACAAATTTCTCTAATGATAGTAGTGGTAGAAATGTTATTAGATTAAATACTGAGAAAACCTCAGTAACTCAATCTAAGACCAAAAGGCTATAATGTGTTTTGTGCCAGTTTTCTGAATCGTGTTCTTGCTAACACTTCTTAAGTAAATTCTTTGTTTTATTATTTCTTCATTTTAAATTGTATTCTTATTGATGGCTTATTGTATCATTTAAATATTTTTAGGATCCCTGTGACACTCCACCTCCTGTGAGAATAGTTACTAGAGAAGAAAGACAAGAGCTAAGGGTAACATTTATTAATCTTTCTTCTCACAAAAGTTTTTATGACAAGAAAATGTGACTGTAATCTTAAGAAGTTTTGACATTATTATTAGAACTGCTGTGTGATTCATGTTCATTTTTTTTTTCTGTTCACGGGACTCTGTTAGATTTTTTTTTAAATAAATAAATTTTAAATTAATAGAATAGAATAAATGTAACAAAGAATTATTTAGATTTTTCAAATTAACGATTGCCAATAAAATTAATTAGAAAAATGTTAGACTTATACTTATGTTTCAATAATTTGGCTAAATGTTACATAAGTATATCATTATATTTAAAGCAGAATGAAAAATTATGATAGTAATATTAACAAAAATTTAAAGACTATGTAATTGTCATATTTATGATGAAATATGCTATTTTGTGACAGAAGCACAAACCAAAAAAGAAATCTTACCTTTACCATTGGTTTACTGTAGTTGGTTACTGGTTGAACCACTGAAAAATTATTGGTGAAGTATGATTTATATGATCTGAACCAACTGATCACCATTAATATCAAATCCTATATTGTAGTTAATTGTTTACTTTTTTACTTGGCTTCTTATGTTTTTACTAATAAATTTTTTTTTAAATTATATTTTTCTACATAGTTTTATTTTTAAAAAAAAAAAATTCTTGTACTTAAATTTAGTGCATTTTATATACAATTTGTGTTTTTTATTCCCCATAGAGAAAAGAAAAAGCTGAATTAGTTGCTTACAAATTAGAACAAGACATAGCACTATGTAAGTATATTTAACATGTGTTATATTTATTTACTCTCCATAATTTGTGGGCACTGTGGAAAATTCCGAATCCAGGATTATACTAAGGCAGGGTTGGCAAGTTTTTGACACATGACGGTTTTTACCGGTTTATACCATGGTTTTTACCATCATGTAAAAACCCCCATAGTTTTGGTAAAAGTGTATTTTTATTTGAGTTTAACTGCTTATAATTTAAAACTAATTCATTTTTGGGCAATAAAATTAGAAAAAAAAGTTGTGAAAAGATATTTAAGGACAGATTCTTGCATTTTCCCAACATGATTATATCAAAACATACTATTTGAAGTAAAATATTAGGATACTAAGCAAAATTTTCGACTTTTCCAAGCATCATTTTGTTTGGCATATTACATTACTGAAGAATGTCAAGTCACTCCTGACTTAGAATTTGTTAGTAATTACAAGTTTTGAAAGTTTTGTTAAGCTTATTTCTAATATTTAAGAAATGCCAAATTTTAAATTCTTCTTTTTAGTTCTTGAATTTATTAATAGTTCCAAGCTTTTTTGTTTGTTTGTTTATTTCTAACAATTAAGAAGTGCAAAATTTTGAATCCTTTGCAAATCAAGCTATAATCATAAAAGTAAATATCACTATTTTCAATAAGTATATTACAATATTTCTGTATGAATGTATATCCTTCTATAAGAATACATGTATATAGTTGCAAAATCAATAGCAATCATTTACAACATTCATTTATAAAGGCAATTATGTGAAAATAATATATTGTCCGCTATATGCCATAAATTAAAGAAAACAGTAGGTTTTTGACGGTTTTTACCACTGTCAAGTCAAAAACCCAACCCTGTACTAAGGACTTTGGCTAGTTCAGAAAATTGACATTTCCATATTATCTGCTAAGTTAAACATTCAAAAAGGACTGTAAAGTTTAAATTAAATTATAATATATAAGAAAATAAGGAGATAAAGGGAATATTCATAACTAGAAATTCTACTGCAATTATCAATTATATATTAATGTGTATTTAATGCATAATTAGCATATGTTGAAAGTAGGTTGAACCTTGGGGTATGTTTGGCTGTTCTCAATTATTTTAATGCTATTAAATATTTTTTTGTTCACCCTATTCACATGTTGCCCCATTGGTACTACAAATCTTAGAGGGGAAATCACGACCAAAGTGTGCTATTTTTATTTCAACAAGTTGTATTTTAAATTCGTTGTATAATTTTTTAACTTTTCAACTTTACCTTCTAAAAATTTTTCTATAAGAAAAGAACAATAAATTGCAATTATTGTACAAGATTATATCTTCAATTAGACCATCAAAATAATCCAGAGAATCTTTATTATAATATTTTTATTTTATTTTATGGAATTCCCCTATTATATATTCCTAGTTATGATTATGAAAATTTATGTATATTTTTGTAGAAATAGTAGTCTTTAAAATTTTCTTTTGTAACAATTCAAGTTGCACAAGTCTGGAATGAAGAATATCGGGAAGTAAAAGCTAACAGATCTAACAAGATTACTTTGAATTCATGTTGTACGCAATTATGCATTTTATTAATTTTATTTACAAAGATTACACTTAAAAGTTTTATTTACCATTAATAAAATTTGTTAATAATGTTGCTTTTCTCCATCTGTTAAATTGGAACAAAATTTAAAGTATAGTTCTAAAGATAAATGGGCAAAAAAGACATTTTAAACAAAATATCTTGTGCTTAAACTCTAAAACAATTACATGAGAAATTTGCTGAGTAAATAAATTAAAAATAAAAAAAAACTATTACATTTTATCAAATGTTAAAGATTATCTAAGACCACATTTTTACAGAAATAAGATTTTGAGAGGTGTCAATGCTGATAAAGATATTTTTAGGTCCATTAAATCAGTGTTTTCATCATAGAAAAAAAAAATGGGTGAGAATTTCTCACCCTTTCTCAAAAACAGAGAGATTTCAAAAACTTAAGTGAGATTTTTAAAAACTAAAGAAACACAAAAACTCTTGAAAAAAAATCATTTCTTTAATTATAATACATTTTTAATGTCTTCTATTTTTTAAAGCACTGAATATTTTTGGTGCATCATCATAGAAGATTTTGTCTCTACAGGGTAATTGTCCATCTTACGTATACGTTAGCACATAAAAAATTTGAACGTCTTACATGAAGAAACCTAACCTACTGTAAACACGTGGTTGCAGAGAAATGTGTTCTGAAAGGTGTTCTGTGGTTGTGCTCTGTTGTTCGAAAAGGTTCTGAACAATACTGGTAAATAGGGAAGCTAGATAACATGGCAGATGTTGAAAATAATGAAAGATCCAGGAAGAAGAGTGAAACGGATTTTATTCTAAATGGTATCATTCTAGGCTTTTCCAAAATGCGAGAAATTCGCGAGTTTTGAAATTGATTTATAGAGTGGGCGAATTTCTCGCAGTAATAATTTTTTAATGCGAGAAAGGGAGAAAAAAATTGCGAGATTCTCGCGCTGTAGTGAAAACACTGATTAAATCTTGATAAATGAAGATTATATAATTAATTTTTTTTTAATGCACCTCATTCATTAAATAATGCTGTTAGTTGCCTGTTAGTCAACTATTTAAATATACTAAAAACTGGAAGCTGGGCATGTTCTTCCACATCATTATATGCATCTCAAGACATGGAATTCCGTGAATCAAAAACTTGTAATCCCACGAAGTTTTGATACTTGATCTAAATCATGTTAATGAGGCATTTACATTTGATTCTTCCACCAATTTCATTGTTTTGGTTTGGCGAATCTTCACCAGGTGGAATAAAATTCAGCTGTATTAAAATTTACGTTACTTATTCTTAATTTTTTTTATTGAATAACCTATGTTTTGACGTATAGTTTATTTGTTTACTTAATATTTATGAGTGTTGTTTCTTCTCTAGGGAATCCTACTAATAATCCTACAGCAACACAAGATCCTTACAAGACTCTTTTTGTTGCAAGAATTGTAAGTTATAATAAATATATTTCTTAAAATTTTATTATTTCTAGACAGAGAACGACAAATCTCGGGCGGCAGGTAGCTCAAGTGACTATAAAAATTCCCACTGTGAACTTCTTACACATATTATTCTATTACTTATTATAAGTAAGAGAATTCTTTAGCAAAGGGGAAAAAATCTAAATTGTTCATTTTTTTATGCCATAAAATTTAATCTATTGATGGCCTCTTAATGCTGAAACTCGGAGTCATAGCTAATGTATATATATCTATATTCATTTACTGTTTGTATTAAAGGTAACAGCATTAATTTTCCTGTTTGAGACTATTTTAAGTTTTGCTTACATTGTCAATAGTTAATTACTTCTTTACTAAGAAAAATTCCTTCAATTGAAGATGTAAATTATTGGATTTATTGTATTTTATTTTTTATTTGAGAATGGCTATGGTTTACTCATCCTGAAGTACACATTTTTTTTTTTTATAATACCCAATATTTGTGGTTTCAAATCTAACTTCTAAACTAGGAAAATTTTGCCAAAAATATATTTTTAAAATGTAAAATTATTTCAGATTTTTAAGTAATTTATTTTTGAAAATTTATCATACAAAACTTTTGCTGCATATCAATAATATGTAACCCTTCTCAGATCCATATTTAGTTGGGATCTGAAGATATCTGAACTATATTGCTTAATGTGGTAAATTTAAATTGGCTGTAAATTATTGAGCTTTTATATAGTTCTTAGTAATGGATTAAAAAATTTACAGCTTAGTATTAATAAAATTTTCTGAGGGGTAGGAAGCATATATGGATGCTGGCTTGCATGTTTCAATATTTTGCATGTTAAATTTTATAGGTTGATGTGCTTCTTCCCTTATTAAAAGATATTCTGCAGGAAGGGGAACTACTAATTTTTTTTTTTTGCAATTTGGAATTAGCTGTTTAACGTATTGAATAACTCTAAACAAAGATTTACTTATATTTATTACATGAAATATAATTAAATAAGTTTTACTATACTTAATGTTTTAGAAAACTGAAATTTAATTATACTAGCAGGAATGAAAAAAAAAGTTTTTAATAAATTAACGGCTCTATGTTTTTAAGTCTGATTAGGAAATAGCTAGTGAGATTGTTAACAAAATCACACAAATATATAATAATTTATTTGAACTAAATTTTGTTAATATCCTTTATTCGTAACTGATATAACGTTGAAATAATACTTGATAGATTAAGAATTCACGAAGTTTATCTACCATACTTATTTGTATAAATAAACATTATATAAAAACTTATCTTTAAAAATTTAGGAAATTATTCATATTATGCATTACAAGGTGTTATTAGAATTTTATTAGAACCCACAAGATATTTTAATTTAAGGAAAACTCAGTGTTGTAAATTGGAACAATGTTAATAATCAATATTTTACAGAGAATTAACAACAGTATGCAACCTTTTAGTAAATTTGACTCAATAATTTTAAAAAGCTACTACAATATTTTTTTAACTACTACCTCTTGTTTCATTGTCTAAATTGTCTTGTATTTTAAAGGTTAAGTAGTGTTTTGCACATAGTTTACAATATAATTCATTAATATAAAAACTAAATTGCGTTGCTCTGTATTTTATGTGTTCAAAATAAAAGTTTGAAATTTTACTATAATATCAATGACTTATTTTTATTGTTTCTAATAAGATGTGAAATAAGACTTATTTTTAATCAATATAAAAATTTTAACTTAGATTAAAATAATTGGCTTATTTCAAATAAAATAGTATTATATGGTTATTTTTCTAAGAAAAAAACTTTTTCTAAAAAAAAAAGACTATTAGATATGAAATTTGTAATTTAGATTTATCACTTAAGTAAATTTGTAGAATTAAATAGAAATGGAGAAATTTAAATTTTAAACTCATTCCCTGTGTTCATTCATTTGTTTTATTTCATATAGTTCACACCATTATCTTGGAAATAAAATTTTTTTTTTCTTGAAAAGTGCTAAACTTTCACTTAAATCACTTAACATAAAAACGATTTTGTGATATTGCACAATACAAACCTTTTTACATTACTTTTTAATGCGACAGTGTAGCTCCTCTACTAGATATTTATAGTTTTTTGAAATATTTTTTCTGGAAGTGATATATTTTACGTTTTAATGCTCATTTTTGAAAATTAAAGATGTTATATGATTTCCAGAACTATAAGCAAGACATATGATAGTTACATACTTTAAAGGGGGGCATGGGTGCAAGTCTTCCGCCCACAGGACGGATTTCCGTCTTTCGAAAATGTCCGCAGACGGGAGTAAGATGGAAACAAGACTGACTCGAAGACGGAAATCGGAATTTTCTTTTTCTGTCCTTAAAAATATTTTTTAGGTCTAGGTTATTGGTCTACTTTCTTATGTCCTGTTGTTATTTTATCAAAAGACAGATGAATAAATATTTTTTGTACAGTATTTAAACTTGATGTATTATGGTAAAGCTTTCTTAGATAGTTTGCATATGTCGAGGGGGTATTGTGTATGTTAGGTATTTCAGTCAAAAGATTTTCAGTCTTGGCCTTTTTTCCAACTTGCACCCATGAAGGGGGGTGAATTATAAATACCATACCTGGGTATTTACCCTACCCAATCTCCAATCTATGCACATGCATTGTAGTAATAACATAGTATTATAAATATCATTATGTTAAAAGTCTTGTAGAAATCCACAACAATAACTGCCAAAAAACAAAGGGAAACCATGTGAGATGTGCTGTGATGGAATCTGCTGCGCAAAACCATTAATACTAAAAAATGAGTTCAAAAATGCAGGTTTATAATAAACCAGGCTAGCTCTCTATGTTATTTTTATAACATTTTAATTAATATAAAAAATACAAACACAACACTAACAAATATCAAACAACATTTTCGTACTACATATACACATCTACTTGTAAAAAAAACGTTCTACAGAAGAATCCGAGAGGATCATGGGTGAAGTTTTCCCTAGCTCCCTCTTTCGGGCAAACCAGGCATTACATCCTCCCCCTCTGTTTTAATTAGCGTCTCGCTTTTAAAACAGCATTTTTCTTCGGTCTTCCTCTTTTTCGCAGAGGAGCAATTGGAGTAGTCTCCATTTCAACGAACGGTCTTAATGCCGAAACATGGTAAGTTCCTATAGGTGTGTTAGGACTGTCCAAACTGGCCACCTCGTATGAAACTGGTGATCTTTGAGTTAGGATCACATAAGGGCCGTCGCGTTTTGGCATAAATTTTGCTGTTTTTTTGTTGTGAGCTCTGCTAATTGGATGTAAAACAACCCAAACTTTTTGGCCAGGAATAAAATACAGTTTTTTACGGTTCCGGTCATAATAAGTCTTTCTCTGGTCCTGTTTCATTTCAACGCGTTCCTTAACAGTCTTAGAGATTGAGGCCAATCTCTTCAAGTACGGCGTAATTTCCGGAACAAAGTTATCATTGTCCAGAACAGCTTTTAGATCGTAGGCTACATCATCAATTGTCCTAAATTCCCGCCCAAATTGCAAATATGCAGCAGTATGTCCAGTTGTATCTGATATAGAAGAATTAAGAGCGAAACGAATGCTTGGTAGTTTTTCTGACCAAGAATCATGAGAATCTCCCACAAGGATAGCAAGACGAGGTTTTAAGTCTCGATTTTTTCTTTCGACTGGATTTGCTTGTGGATGGTAAAGTGGAGTTAGGATTTGATCAATGTCCAGTGTACAACAAACCTGTTGCAGCACAGCACTAACAAATTGTGGGCCATTATCACTAATTAATTTCCTTGGGATTCCGTACCTCAGGAAAACTTCTTCAATAAGTTTAGTTGCACACTCATGTGCAGTGGCTGAGACAAGAGAAAACAGTTCCACCCATTTAGTTGCGCAATCTTCAATAATAAAGATCCACTTGTGGCCTTCTTTACTTTCTGGTAACGGTCCAAATAAATCTATACTCAAAGTCTCGAATCGTTGAGCGTACGCCGGAGTTCTTAGGAGTCCAGAAGGTTTTTGATTGGTTGCTTTGAAACGACAGCATTCAGGACATTTCTTGACATAATTTTCAATATAAGATCTCATGCCGGTCCAATAGTATCTCTGAGAAATACGTTGGTAAGTTCCTTTCTCTCCAAAATGACCAGCAGTAGGAGAATCGTGATGCAATTTCATGATAGTTTCTCTTTCTTGGGAAGGTATTACAAGTTGAGCTTCTTCTGCATCGGAGTCTGGGGCATATCTATAGAGTATCCCTTGATTCATCAAATATCCTTTATCTGACCAGTTCACAAAATCTTCATCCTTCTTATTATTTTCAAAACATTCGATTATTTTCTTAATATTTTCATCCTTTAGCTGAGCATCACGAATGCTAGCAGGACTTCTAGATGGCATATCTACGCTCACAAAATTACAGATTTCTGTATTGTTTACTTTAGTATCACAGACAGGTCGAGACAACATATCAGCTACTACATTCGATTTTCCAGGAAAATATTCGATCTTTAGGTTATAAGATTGAATTTTCAAAGACCAGCGGGCTAATCTTCCAGACGGTGACTTTAAATTCATCAACCACTTTAATGGTTGATGGTCCGTCGCCACAGTGATTTCTTGGCCTTCTATATAACCGCGGAATTTATCAAGCGCCCACACGACAGCTAATGCTTCTCTTTCTGTGGTTGAGTAATTTCTTTCAGCTGCTGTGAGAAGTCGACTGGCATATTCTATAGGATGTTCATTTGTCTTATCCTCTCCTTGTAAAAGCACTGCTCCTAAGGCATAGTTACTAGCATCAGTTCTTAAGATGAATGGTTTCTTACAATCAGCTTGTTTCAATACTGGAGGAGTAACAAGACATTTCTTGAGAGTTTCAAAAGCTTGTTGTTCTGCTTTTCCCCAATTCCAACTGGTTCTCTTCTTTGTTAGATTACTGAGTGGCCGCGAAATATCAGCAAAGTTCGGGATAAAACGTCGATACCACGAGCAAGATTGTAAAAAGGATTGCACTTGCTTTACATTTTTCGGTTGGGGTATATTGTTTATAGCTTCCACTTTAGCAGGATCAAGTTCTAATCCATTAGGCGTTATCCAGTGTCCCAAGTACTTTACTTTTTCGCAAGCAAAGTGGCATTTCTCTCGTTTAGCATTCAG